ACACCAAAGCATTCCTTGATAGATGAAATACAAGGTTTGATAGATTGTGTGTTTCTTCTCATTGAAGTTGGTAGGATTTTGAGGCATACAGGTAATTGAGAATTATATCTGCTTTTTCTGGTTATTTATCTGGGAGTAACTCTGACATCTGGTGAAAAGATACAGTCACAGAACTGAGTATTATTTGATAACAGTTAGCAAATTTAGGTTTGCTAGTGCAGAAAACTATCTCAGATGTGTTTTATTTAAGATGGTCCAAAGGGTCCCCTTAATAAATTACGGAGGTAATTTATCTTCCTTACACATCTTCTGAAGTGAGCTGAAACTGGAAGGCAGGATGCTTAGGATGTCTATCCATTAAAGATAGAACATAAGAAGTTTCTAAAAATGACGGCCAGAGCGTAGCAGAGATATGTGCTCTAGTTAACAGGTGAGCCATAGTAGAGAGGCATTTTAAAGGTTTTATTCAGATTCTTGACCTTTAGACAACAAGCACAAACATCAGTCAATATCCTTACATGTTGTGCCCTGAGAAGCAGACAAAGCAATGTATTTTGCCGCCTCCGGGCCCTCACAGAATTAACTGGTGTGCTTGTTCCACTTTTATTCTGGTCTACAGAACTCATTCTAATGTATACGTCTATTTGCTGATTAACAGCAGAGATTTCTTAAAACATGTGACTTTGATGTGGTGCTGCCCTTCGGTCGTGGTCTCTACTGAGCAGATCTGAGGCACAAAGGCAGCCCAGGGCCTCGTGCCAGGCCTGGTGCTTGTGCCAGGCCTCTGCGTGTGCCGTGGATCGAGGTCTGGAGGCTTGAGGGCTGTCGCCTTGGCACGCTGCACCAGAGCTAAACTGACATTTAGGAAAACTAACATTCTCAAATGCTGTCCTGCTTCTGTACCCTAGCGGGGCTAGCTTTCCAAGCAGGAATTCTAGCTCCCTGTATTCATAACATAGAGCTCTGGGAATTTGGTAAGGGTTGAGGGACCGTAAATGACATCACACGTTATAAAATGACAATTTAGATATCCTTGAGGAATCTGTTGGTTTTTAAAATATTGTTTAATACTCATTGTTACAAGTTACATATATGTAAAGTAGTTGCCTTGGGGAAAGGAGGCTTGTGGGTGCGTATTTCACTTCAAAACATTGCACTTTCACTTGTTCACTTTTTAAATGCAATTGGTACAAAACATTGTACTCATTTAGAGGGCCTAATAATCCCATCAGTAGAAGTGACATGACTGACCTTAGAACCCACAAGTGTCTCTATGATGATGCTGCCTTCACTTCAAAGTCCACAATTGTGTTAAGAGCATTCAGATTCCTCATTTGTCAAGTGAATTTGCTTGGTCTCTTAAGGGAAGACTGGGTGGTTTTTGTTTGCCAGGACTTGCATTTCGTTTCAGAAAAGGAAGAGGAGAATGTATCACTTTGGAAAAGCTTTTATCTGCAGAGTGATTTGCTTGGCTCATCCTTTCCCGCAGAATAATGTCTTTTTAGGATTGTTTCAGCATTCATTTTCTGATGATAGAACTGGAAATAGCAGCCTAATTCCATCGATTAGTATGGACTATGTGAAATGGATATTTTCAACAGGAAAAAGAATGGTTTTCAGCCTACTTCTCATAGTAATCACTTTACTGGGTCTATTATGTTCACTTATTGCTGGACAGTCTGTAATAACCTGTTTGTGTTGGAGGGAGGAGGGATTTAAAACAAAAAATAAACATCAGTAATTTGTTATCACAAAGCCAGTGGGGGTTTTAAGAATGTTACTATGACAATTGGTACCACTGCTGTTGGATACCCTGTGGCACTTCTCCACCCACCTCCCCTCCCCATTTTTTAAAAATACAAAGCCTGCTTCTCTGTGTAGAACAGCCTGTGAAGAACAGTTTACCCTCAGTATAGGGGACAACCTGAACTCTGAGTGAAGCTCTAGGAGGGGTTTCTGCTTACCAGTTTCCAAGATTACCAGTATTCACTTTCTATTGGAAGGTGTTCCCATGCCAGGGAGTTAGACTAGATGGTCTTTAAGGTACTTCTCACCTCAGACCATTCTACGATTCTGTCATTTGCACAAGAAGCACGTGTGTGACTATGTGGTCTATCACAAGCTCTCATGTGCTTCGTTAAGGTATTTTACTGCTGTTGTCTCACTGGCTCTCCCTGAAAAAATATAGCTTTGATGTTTTATAGCTGCATGAAGGTGCCTTTTTTTTACTACTACATTTTATTTCTTCATTGCGTCCCCAAATCCCAGCTCGTCATACTCTCTGAACAAAACGTGTTTTCTTTAGCTGCCTCTGCCACTGACCTAGTACCAGCTTCTCTTCTTTTTTCATGGTGTCTCACTGTTGCTGATACAAAATCTGGCAGCTTCCCCTCTTAAGCTGTGTTGCTGTGATGTGCTCCAGCCATGTTAAGCCTTTTGATCTCCAGATTTTTTGTAACCTGGCAAAGTTCTTTGCTCAATAGGTAACTCCATCAGAGTTTTATTTCTTAATTTGTAGCTTCTTTGTTCTTATCATCAATGTCATCATCACCATCAGTATTTTATCTTGATTTCTAATTATTGTTTCAGTGACGTCTGCTTGAGCTGTGTTGTTTTTAAGTCTAGATTCTTATATCCTATTGCTGGAATAATTGTCAAGAAGTCTCGGTATTGCTTGTAGGCTTGAGACAAAGAGTAGATGGTAGCAATAGAGATGATGGAATAAGATCTGATGAGAGACAGTGGACAAGAGAATGAGCTGGAGGATGAACATAGATGAAACAGAATCGGGGAGTGAAGAAGTGAGATTAAAATAAAACATTGCCCTGGAGTGGAAAAGAAGAGAAGAGAAAAGAAAAAGGGACGCATAGAAAGGTTGGAGAATTGATGTAAAAACAAATAAGCTGGCTATACTCGAAATTCCAGACTGAAAAAGAAAATCTTAATGCTTTTTTTTTTTTTTAATTTGAGAACTTAATTCAGCAAATGACTTAAATATATGTCTGAATTGAAGCACCTGCCTGCTCCAGTAATTCCTCAGAATAGGTGGTGACCCATATATTTTACGACCTTATGCAAAGCCTGCTGAGGGCAGTCTAGCAGTGTCCATTGTATACAGTGGGCTTTGGATCAGGCCTCACAGAACCTCTGAGCACATGTTAAAGTAAGCACCTGAAAGATAATGCATGGAGAACACTCCTGACATCAGTAAGGAAATGGCGTAGCTGGTTTAATAGCTTTTTCTCAGTCTGTGATTCTAACAGCCAGGTTTGTGATATTTATTTTAGTATTCATGTTCTTGCAGTCCTTTTTACATTTCCCTGTTTTTCTCTGGCAGACATCCCGCAGCTCCATAAGTCTGGGGGAAGAGGATGGTTAACATGTTGTTGCTGTGGGGATTTGAGTCTTAGTGCTCTGTGTTGGTAATGCTGGGCATATAAATTTTAAAACTTGCATACTAGAGATGCAGATAATTATTTCCCCGCTACATGTTATACTCTGGTCTAGGCAAGAAAGAAATTTCAGAATATTAAAAGAGGAGAGAGTTACGATTGTGGGGACCATTGGAAATGGAAACAGAAAGAGGGGAGTAATGGGTGTCAGTCTAGTTATCAGTCAAGATAGAAAGAGACAGCTTGTTCTGTCGAACACCAAGAATGTTCGTAGTCAGCCAACCACTTATGCAGGAAAGCAGCCCTAGACTGAAAGGTAAGGTTCAAAGACATCTGTGTATGTTTCTGAAATGAGCTTGAATGAAGCTTGCTATTGAATTATGCTTACTGATTATGTGTGTTACAGTATTTGATTTTTGTTTAGCATAAGCTATTCATGCAATTGCTAGTTATCTTATTTTTATTGCAGTATCTTTTTTTTTTTCTCCCCAGTCCCCTTCTCTTGGATGCTTTTTATGTGTCCAGAGTTGACACTGGGTGATTGTCATTTGGCAGAAGACTTAGCAATGCTGTGGTGTCTCTCTTTTTTTTTTCCCCTTAAGTGAGACATGTTGCCTCCCAATTTCCTACATGATCATGTGGTGAACTTCTTGCTGAATGTCTGTAGCTAGCATCCTCACAGGTTTGCCTAATGGTGTGATTCGCATGCTCTCCCATGTGCAAGGATTGATTCCCTGCTTAAAGGAACTCTTCAGCACTAAATGGTGTGTCGGTGGTGTACTTGTCGTGCTTAGTTTTTGTTTGCAAACAAAGTGGAAAAAAACGTTATTTTGAATTAGTTTGTGTTGATAAGCACTGATTTCCCCTCACTTGAAAAGTGAAAGCAGAGCTTAAGAGTTGACATTGGGGTGCCAGGATCCATCTGCTTCTCCTCTCCTTTGATGTATCACTTGAGAGCAATCATAGAAGACAGGACCAAACAGGAGGGTAACAAAAACGTGTCTCAGCTGCTTTGGGCACTGAGAGTTTCCTAAGGCCAATGGGAAATACTAGGTCCTGCCGGGCAGTGCCTCGATGCCTTTGCAGCTTCAGTTCAGCTATGTCTAAGGTGGGCATGAGCCTTGAATTATAAAACACAGGGTGTTTTTTAAGGTAATTTGAAATCCTCACGTAGAGCTGTGGAGTCATATATTATTAATCATACTGGAGAATTATTTCTAGAAGTCTCCAGTCCTAATGTTTTCTCTCAAACACAAGTAGGTTCACTAGGAACAGTTTACCCCCTATAAAATGCCTGACCGTGCCCATTCAAACTTCTTTACAAATGCTTCATTTGTTACAGGAAGCTCCTCAGGGAGGATTCTTCACATCTGCCATCATAATTTCTTATTTCCTAAGCGCTGCAATTTGTACTTGATTATTCTTACAAGAATCGTGCCTCCCTTCCCTCCCCCTGCTCTGGCACATTCCATTGTGCTGCTGCTTGTTCATGTAGCCTGCACAGAGCATCTGAGAGTGTTTAGATCCAAATTTTTCTTTGCTGTTCTAACATTTCTCTTCTAACATTTCTCTACCGTACTCACTTCTGGGGTGGGGTGGGGTTGGGGGGGAGCTGCTTTTTTATTCTCAGACAGTATTCCTTCAGGTTGTTAGCGACAGCAAGTTGTCGTCATTTTGTAGCCATTCAGCAAGTAACAAAAACAAGCTGAATCTCTCATTCCAGTTTTCTAAGGACAAAGTTTCCCAAAACAAAAATACACCACCACTTCTTGGAGCGCTTAACATCTCCAGTAGATAAAAGGACTGAAGCCCAGGTTTTTGAAGACACTTAGGTGCTTGACTCCCACTAGAACTGAATTAGACCTAAGTACCTATAAATAGCTTTAAAACTTTGAGTGACTATGAAGACCTTCCTCATCCATCACTTGGCAATGGTCCCATCAGAATGGAAGTAATTCATATCAGCAAGGTCACATAAAAAACCTGCAGTTCTGCTTTTCAGAAACTGCTCATATCAGATGAATTGCTGCATTCTACCGTAGCTTTTCTTGAAATACAGCTTCTGAAGTAGATTACTTATATTTGCTAGAGGAAAAAAGTCCTTGCTTGCATGAAAGTAAATATTTAAGGCAGATAACTTTTAAAAAGGACACAACATTATACCGCAAAAATACCCACCTGTATTCCTTATAATCCATTTTTTATTAAAACTGAGAAATAAAAGTAAAATTCACAATTAAATTACTTTCTGCTGTTTCCAGGGGATACTCTTTACATTCCATTTGGTTTCACTTTGCAGTTCCTCTACCCGTTTTCAGTGCTGTTGTTATAGACATATGTAACCTTCAGAGAACATTTATTCCCAAACATAAAACCTCTATGGATTTTACTTTTTGATATTTAATAACATTTACCTGTGTGTTAGCCTTCAAATCATTTTTTTTTTTTTTTTTTTCTCATTGAATCCAGATTTTGGGGCTAGTGCTAAGAAGAGAATGTGTTTGAAATGGGGAGGTTGTCGTATATATATCAGGAGGTCCTTCAGGATGCCGCAGAGCCAGGATCATGTGTGTGGAAGGCTGAGTTTGTTTTATTCCTTGGGATCTGAAGAACAACCACTTGCGTTGCATCCCATTATTAAATGGCATAGACTTTCTTAAGAATTGGTAAATCTCATTCTTTTAAATTAGATCACATTTTAGTCACGCGCAGATGTGTGTTCAGTTTTAGGTTTGGGGTTTTCTTGGAGGAAGATGGGATATAAACATTCAACAGTTCGATCAGGGAAAAAAAAGAAAGTAAATGTGTTGATGAGACATTAATATTTGACGCACCGTTCTGTTTTAGATCTGTATTAAATGTCTGAAATATTTGAGCAAGTTGTCTCCTGTATTCTGTTGCAAGCTTACTTCCCCCACCCACTTTCCGCCCTCAACTGAAGTATGTTCATCAGATTGCTGAATTGGAAGGGTTTGTAATGAATTCTTTGAGCTCTGCCTCTTTCTCCTTCCTCCCTCCTTGATTTTCATCTCATAATAAATAAAGCAAATCTTAAAACAGATTAACTGTCAAACAGTTACGCTCCATCTCTTCCATCTACTTTTAGGTTTTTCAAAGAGAGGTGTGCTGATTAGATAAGATGTCATGGTCTTCCCCCGTCGATGTAGGAAGATAGCAGATATGATCGCCTGAGAAAGCAGAGCTACCCATTGCAAGCATGGCTTTCGCCCAGTCGCACATTATGGCAGCTAGAAGGCATCAGCACAGTAGACTCATAATTGAAGTGGATGAGTACAGCTCCAACCCCACACAGGCTTTCACGTTCTACAACATTAACCAGGGACGTTTTCAGCCCCCACATGTGCAAATGTAAGTATTATAGTTTTGTTATTGCTTTAGCGCAGCCTTCTGAATTGTTATTGCCTTGTCAATGTGGTATTTGATGGACCAGTCAAAAAGAATGCGAAGAAAACTGTTTTGCTGCCTTTCTAATAATAATTACTGTAATGATACAAAGTCAGTCCGTTTGGGAAATATAAGTACTTCGATAGAAAGATCACTCCACTAGCATAACTATAATAGATAATAGTATTAAAAAAATAAATAAACATCAAGCCGTGGTAATAAAACAAGAAATTCTACAAAGCTGATACTTTATGCAATCTTAATAGTTGTTTGTTTGCATTGTGCACTTGCCTATTGATGTAAATAGCTGTTGAAATACCAAGCTCGTATCTGTACAACAGATATTGTTTGGTTAGTTATATTACAGACACATAGAAGGAAAAAATGACATCAATAAGTAAAATGGTGTGGGCATCCATCCGACAACTTACTTTCATATCAATGTGCTGAAGATGCCAAGTGCTTAAAGAGTAATTAAAATAATGTGTTTGTTTCTGACTTCTTATATAATGACAGCATCAGTAAAATTAACTGCTCTAAATGATTTACTTGTAATGTAAAGTGGAGAATTATAATTACGAAATGAAACCTGCCATAAAATTTAAAGCCAGAAGGAAGAGCAAAACAGTAAAGCTATTACAAATAAATTAAGTATAAAATTCTACTGTAAAATATTTTTATAGGGAATAAAAATGTCTGCACCATTTTATTGTGTTTATTAAAGAGAAAAGCAGCCTTATCTTTAGATGAGAAGACTGGTGTTCACTTTTTTTTTTTTTTTTAAGGAAAGTTTTTTTCTTTTACAAAGTCTGAATAAATTATCTCCTCATTCACATTTTTGATATTTAATATGAATTTATAATTTCCAGACATAGACCACGATTTCTGCAGTTGAAAATGTCAGCAGTTATGAGTGGTTGAACGCTGTGTGTCTGTTTAGTGAATGCTTATGTATATTTTTTGGCATAAATAGATACTGTGTAAAAAAAAAAAATAAATCTGGAGACTGACATAGAGCAGGGTGATGAGCAAACACTTGCATTTTGGGGGCAGTATGTTAGCTTGTAATCTGTGTTGGGGTTTTTAGGTACTATTGAAATGCAAACAGTAGAATGAGTTGAGTGTCAGCAGTGGGAAACATCTTTTGTTTATAGAGCTGGCAAATGTTAGCAAAAGTACAAACAAACAAGTGTGGGTTCAGAAGTATTTCTATAAATGAAAATACGAGGTTGCTTTATTTGTTGAAGCTTAGCCATTCTTCATGTACATTCAGGCAGTTCCTGGGCACTTGTGAACTTGTTCTCCAGATCTAAAAGCTGAATGTGTTTTACTGCACTGAAAATAGGTTATTTATTAGAATCATAGAATCACCAGGATTGGAAAAGACCTCCAAGATCATCCAGTCCAACTGTCCACCTACCACCAGTATTTCTCTCTAAACCATGTCCCGCAGAACCACATCTAAATATTTCTTGAACACCTCCAAGGATGGTGACTCAACTACCTCCCTGGGTAGCCCGTTAAAGCATCTGACCACCCTTTCAGAGAAGAAATTTTTCCTAAAATCCAACCTGAACTTCCCAGGCAAGTCCTATCATGAGTTATGCAGGAGAAGAGGCTGATACCCATGTCGCCACAATCTCCTTTCAGGTTGTTACAGGGAGCAAAAAGGTCTCCTCTGAGCCTCCTCTTATCCAGACTAAACAAGTATCCACTTGGTACTCAACAGTACGCAGCTTGAATTTCTAACAAGTGGCAAACAAATCATATTATCAGAGAGCTGAGAAAATCAAGTGCGTGATACAAGTTCAGCACCTAAGCAAATAGTTGAAAATAAGCTATCCTTAGAAAATTGTTCCTTAGAAGAATTTAGCACTCTCTTACAAATGATTAACACCCTTGAAGAAGCTTTGCATATAGGAAAACAGGTTAAATAAAACATATACCACAATCTCACCTGCTCTTTTCTTGGTACAGAAATTGTAAAGAATGTTTCTGAGTACCAGCAGGATTGCTTTTGCTTCCAATCAGTGAATAGAACAGTGACAAACAAGGGGAAGGTATATACAAAATGTTTAACAAAAAAGCACCTTTATTCACGTAATTGTTGGTGAAATCTCAACTTTAGTCTGTAGAAGTTTTGTTATTAACTTAAGAGAGGTGAGGGCTTTGCCTCATCTGTGCATATGTCAAAATACCTAGGTTGCAGCCAATCACAAACATACTCCAGATAGACCTGTTAACATTTGAACTTGTGGTAAAATACTTGTACTGCAGTTATTTCTGGTACTCGTCTACTGAATCCAATTCTGGAGCTCTTTTTGGTCCTCAGTGCAGTTCTACTTAACTTTTTGGCATACTGACAGCACTTTACTAGCCCCATCTTAGTCCATCATTCCCATTCTTGTGAGATGACTGGATTGCCACTGACAAGAGGGGTGGCAAATTCTGACAACGTCCTCAGGTTCATCAATCACTCCTAAGAAGTTCCTGTATTCTATTTTTTGGGAACCTCCTCTAAAGTGTGGTCTAAAAACTCACTCTTATCACTGTTGTGTTTTTTTTTTTTTTTTTTTCCTTTCTGAGGTTTTAACTTTGCTTTTCAGTTTCTTTGCAAGTTTACACGTTGTTTTATAGGAAAATAGCATTTTGGCAAAAATAATCAGATCTTTCTTCCTCTGCTCGTGCTGCAAGCAGTGCATCGAGTGTTGGTGTGACAGCTGCTGTGGCAATGTGTTACCCAAAAATATGGGGATCCAGCCTTCAGAAATCACTTCTAATACAACTTAGATGCATTTGTGAAACTTGACATATGTTTTTACCTATATATGGCCTCAGTGTGTGCATATCACTTCAGCATGAAAATGTGCATCTCATTTATTTGTGGGGTTTTTTTTTTAGTATTGATATCTTTTCTCCATGAACATTGTCTGACCCACTGCACGGGCTCTGAAAGTTAAGCATACCTCAGCAACCGGGAAAATGCTATCCACACCTCTCCCCTCCCCATCCAAACTATAAGAAACAGCAAATGTATTGCACACTTGGTTTGCTGTGATAAGTCCCTTGTTTTTCCATTCAGTTCTAATGCAGCAGTGAGGGAAATACACACAACCCCCTGAGGAGGAACTCTGTGAACTAAATGCAGTACTCTTCATGCAGATTGCACCTTAAGACAACCCTCAGTCAGTAATCCAAAACCCACCATTCTCCATCCTTTGGTACCTCCACTCACAGTCCATAGAGCTCCCTCTGTGGCAGCTCTCGTCCCTGGGAAACAGAGGCATTTTTAATACCTAGTTGCAATCATCTAGCTGCACTGTTTGAGGTTGTGACCTCTCATACCCCATCTAACTCTTTTCTATGGCCCTCACACAGCATAAATACTCCCTCAGCCATGCACATCATGTTTGCAGCTTCTGTGTCTCAGGGTCCAAATGTTTCACTTTTTCAGCTGAGTTTTACAGTTTCTATTATGTGCTTGCTTAGATGTACCGCTGACTTGCACGTAATGCTGAGTGCTCATTGGGTAGGATCTGATCGTGGCTGGCTTTTCTCCTCACTCACATTTTGTTATTTTCTGCTCAGAAATGGGAAGTTTGGAGAGAGAGTTAAAAGGTACTCATAATGGTTTCTCCAGTATCCCTATAAAAAAAAAGCAATAAAACCACCTCACAAATAGCTGATGCTTATTGTGCTGGATTCAAAACAAAACAAAGCCACTCCACTTCTTCCTACAACGTGTAAGAAAGATGAATACAATGTAATTTATTCAAACTGGATTTTTATAATTACAAAAAATAGAATATTTTATATATATATGATAAGTCGTGAAGTCTTATATTTTATCCATTTATCATGTGAAGTTAACAAAAATACCTCAGTTTACCCATCCATAAATTTAATAGAATTCTTCTTTCACATAGGGAAAAGACTGTGTGATTAGAAATGATTATCTTATGTCTCTCAAATAATAATATGTCTTCAGGAAATTTACCCAGTAAATCTAGGGGCAGTATTATTAGTAACAAAAATCTCTAACTTTTTTCTTTATATAATGGTAAGATCCTAAATTGAAGCACAACCAGCAAGGAATGTATGATATATGGCAGTAGTGAACAAAACTAATTTTGTTTTTCCTTTCAGGATAACTGTTTTAAAAGTAAAATAATTCATAATATTTCTGTATACCTTTCTGGTTCCTAGTGACGTAAATATAACTCTTGCATCTCTGACTTTTTGATTTTATTCCACCAGAATTCCCTAACTGGAATAGCAGATATGGTATAGCTGTATATGATACATTTGCTTCTGTATATTCTAACAAAATATAACGTGAGGGTAAAAAGACTGAATGAGTTGGAAATAGGTATGCCTCACATAGCAGAGAGGTGTTCTCTGCTTTCCTCTTCTAACTCATAAGTTGTAAGTCTCACCAAACTTGGTCAGATTGTTTCTTTTTCTCAGTTCTGAATACTGAGATTGGGTTCTTAACAATGCAACCTCACCCCTCACAGCATCTGATTTCATTTAGTATAATTAAGCCCAGAAAGTTACCACATTTGTCCTGACAATAGTCAGACTTGAACATACATTTACAGCTGTTGTTGGGAGGATTCTTATCTTGCTTTGCATTAGCAGACTGAAACATATCTCCAAAATGTGTTAATTAAATTTGCTGGAATTATATAACTTGCAGAAAAAAAAAAAAAAAGTTATAATTAAAAAAGTGCATTTAAAATGTATTTATGTATCTGAAATAAATCTTTTTCCCGTGTACCATGTAATCATATTTAAACAGAGAAACAGGATAGCACCATTCCTTTGAATGTGTTGATGCCTTTGATTTATTTGTAAGTATTTGTTTTAGAGTTACTGCCACAGTTCGGTCTCTCTTGCTTAATCTCTTTAAGTTAATCCAACAAATACTGAGAATGTTGTGATGTGAACATCAAGAATTTTTACACCTCCCATTAGCGTTAGATTTGTTTTAATAAATCCCTTCCATCAGACAGATCTATAAGACTGTGTAATCTTTTGCAAAGGTAAAAATTAGTATTAGAATTGCAGAGTAGACACTGGAAGTTCATAAGTACTTTATAACCTTGTTATGATGCATTTCCTGCAGGGTTGATCCAGTGCCTCATGATGCTCCCAAACCTCCAGGGTATACTCGATTTGTCTGCATTTCTGATACTCACTCGAGAACTGATCCCATCCAAATGCCATATGGAGATGTGTTAATACATGCTGGTGATTTCACTGAGCTGGGACTTCCTAGTGAAGTAAAAAAATTCAACGAGTGGCTAGGTAGGTATTGAAATCTGTGTGGATTTGAAAGTAAATTTGTTTACTGTATGTATTTGCCCCTTCTGCCTCCCAGTAAAAACCACCACGCAGTCAGGAATGATGAATATTAATTTGTCTTAAATTTGAATGGCAATGAGCAGGAATCAGATATTTATTTTTCTTTTTTTTTTTTACAAGTTTTTTTTTTTTTTTTTTTTTTGCATTTTTCCAACGGAGCAAATAAGATTTGTGAGACTATTCATCTGTTCTGCCTTCACACTCTCAAGTGTACATTAAGCAACTTCGTGGTGTTAGCAACAATTTCAGTCAGTAGGCCTTTAATGATTTACATAAAACCTCCTACATACATTGTTATGGCTTTGCTTCCCTGCAAAAAAAAAAAAAAGTTGTTGTGACTGAAAACATTTGTCTGTTTAACCCCGGAGGCTTATAGTTTTTTTATCTGGGGCTCAGCTGCACCGCAGCGATGAATTCCAAATAAAGCGAAACGTGTGCCCGTGGTTGCTGTCTTGGATGTAGCAGACCAGATGTAGATGCCTTCTGTAGGCAACTGTTGGCATTGGTAACTGAAATTCTGTTCCACTGGGCAAGAGAGTGGTGATTTACATGCGCTTCTGCAGTGTTTTGTATATTCTAAAAAAAAAAATGTCAGTGAAAACTGGAAAGCATTATACTGTATCCAGACAAAAAACCCAGTCGGTATTGTTCAGGCTGCAGCGTAGATACCTTAATTTAGAATAAAAACAAATTCTTGCTTCTGATACTTCATTATCCAAAAGAAGAGTCAGAGGACTTGGGAAGTGGAAGGACAGAGTTTAATGGGTTTTAGTTTTTAGAGTGATTATCTTTCCTTTAGTTTATCTTTTGTGCGTTGTCCTTTTTTTTGTTCTTGCTGCATGCTACAGCGTTCCTCACTAAGAAGGCACAAAGCTGACAAACACACGTAGGCTGAAAAGGAATATAAAAAAAGGCAGGGCTACCCAATTTCAGCAATTATTTACCAGCAAAAAAAAAAACATCAATTAAGGCTGATAAATATTTATTTCAGCTTGGAAACCCCATAACATGCCCAGCATGAAGAAACTGCATTGTTCTGTGGTCACTCAGGAGCAGCCTGTGGAAGTATCATACTCTGCTATAGTGCCCTCTGCTCTTCTCTGTCCCCAAATGGCACGGGTCTGTTGTGCAACCAAAAGCAAATTTGAATCTTATTTTGTAGATCTCTACCATATAGTGTAACAATGCACTGAAAACAACATATGAAGATGATACTACCATATGGTTAACCATTCTAAATAATACTTATTTTATTTGTTTGCTAGTGTGGGAAGAAAAATGCCTTGGGACATCACTAGTGAGCAAAGATAGGGCTATGCACATTGCTTGCTGCGCAGTTTTTGTGTCCTTAGTTCTCCATCTGCCTCTCTGCTGGTCACAGCTGTACAGTTTGGTTGGGATATTTCCCAAGGCATTTCTGTGACGGTCCCTTCATCATTTTTGTTCCAAAGGAAGGCCTAATTTTCTGACTTCCAAAGTCTAATTTCATGGTAGTGTATGGTTTGGGAAAAGGTGATCTTTGCATTTTGAGGTATATTGTTGCTAGAGCCTCTCTGGGACTGTCACGGAGTTAACTAGATCAATCTATGCCTGTGACAGGAGGGCAGTAGGGTCCTGGGCCCCCACCCATCTCCACAAAATGGGAAGGAAAAGGGAAAAGGGATAGGGAGATGGGAGTTGGGCTCAAGGAAGGAAAAACATAGTGGCAACGATCTATGGAGGAAAACTTATTTTACTAACTATGATATCAGAACGAAAGATAACACAATATAATACAATCTAATTGAAAGTGAGCCAAATAAATCAAATAAAATAGAAGAGAGAGAGAGTTCCTGAGACTGAGTCAAACCTGAAAAGCTTGGTATGACAAGGCAGGTCAGATCCCATGACTTCCACAACGTACAGGTACAGGTACCTGGAATTGGAGCATTAACACTTTAATTCCCAGTGCACTACATGATGTTATGATGTGGGATATCGAAAACCAAAAATCACAAAAGCATGACAGGGACATGCATATTTAACAAGTAAAGCAAATACATATATTTATTTTTTGTTTTATTGACAATTTGAAAAAAAGAAAGAAAATTTAGCTTATTTTTTGAATTAATTCTAAAATACCCAGTAGAATAATAGCTTGGAGTCAGTATGCAGGTTTCATTTGACTAGCATTAAAGGCTTTGTTTCAGTTAAAAGGTGTAAATTTTTATAATTATACTCAATCTGATTTCAAAATGAAAGCATTAGCTTTTATTTTGAAAGGTTATTTTGTTTTAAATGAACAACTTATGAATTAATAATGCACTGAATGTTTACAAAATCTGTAGTAAATGATAAAATGGTTAAAAGCATTCTCTTTGAGAGGAAGATTTTTCCAGACTTTTTGCTGGTTGCCCGTGTTGTTGGGAAAGGTGCTAGTCCATGATAGTTTAGATTTTTCTAGATGGTTTTGCAGCTATAATGCCCACAGCCTTATCTTTCTTCCTCGTCTGAACATTTCACTGGTGTCCTGAGAAAGTAATTGATGCATTGACCAGGGCTTTTACTTCCAGCCTCATTCTTAACTGTTACCACCAAATTTCCTTGTCTGTTGCTTCTTCCCATACCAGAGGACTGGCTTTCCCATTTGATTATTTTGTTTTGTTTCAGTAATGTGTCTTCTGCCATCAGTAGACTATAACCTATTTATTAATGCCTTGAAATTAAGAGTATTTGTTTGTTACGCCTTCCCTCAGCTTCCTCCAGGCAGTAGGTACACACCCTACTTCTGCTGTTATGTGAGCATTTATTCCTCCCTTATGGCATTCAGTTCTGTCACACCCCCTTGGGTCTCTGCCACTCTGGTCTGTCAGCCTGTTTCGTCTTATCAGGAGGCCCTTAAGCAAGTTCAGATTTTATCTTTCTGCTCTACATAAAATTTCTGTGCCTTTTTGATGCAAAATATATTTTACATTAACATTATTAACTTCCGTGGAGCTTATGCTTCTATCAAGCACATGCTCAAGTGTTGTGCTGATAGAGGCACATTGGCTTGCTGAGTCATACCATAAAATATGTTCTCTCTTTTTTAGGCTAACTGTAAGTGGGCACACAGGAAGGCCAGATGATATATCTCTGCAGCCCATCGTTGCCTTTGTCTGCCTCTCAGTCCCCTACTTTAAACTTTTAATCCTCTCACTTCTGTAGCCCTTTTCTGCATTTCATTTCAGTTCCTCTTGGTAATCAGTTGTTTACTTCCCCTGGTTTTGTTTTTGTTTTCTGAAGACTCCTCCATTTTTCTCAGGAAGGAATTTGAGGTTTTACCAATAATAGGTTTGATGCTGAGCTCCAAAGGAGAGAAAAAAGGCTGGTGATAGCTGGGTGTGCATAGTTTCTCAGCTTTCTCTGATAGGCAGCCCAAGGACTTCCTGCACCACACCATTAAATACACACATAGTGTATTTAATAGACATATATAATATGTGACCGTGTGAAGAACTTTGCATATTTTGAACTTACCATTGACTAGTTTCATTTGGTATTTCCTAATACTAGAAGAGGCAAGTGAACAATTCTATTCTTTATTCTGCTCCAGAATTTATAGGCTCTTCCCATATTTATCCTTTCAATATTTTTCAGGCTGAAAGCTGTTCAGAAGTCCTTAAATGCCTTTGATCATCTTTGTCTTTCTTTGTACCTCTGTTTGTTCCTTATTATTTTAAAAGGTGGAGAGACTGGAATTGCACATGCTCTGAACACACCACAGATTTATACCCCAGCATAATGAAATTTCCTATTTTGTTCTCCTTTTCTTTCTAATATTGTGGATTATTGTTTTTATTTTTGTTGATGACTGAACAATGAGATTTCATAAAATTGCCTATTCTAAACTATTTCCTGAGCAGCAACATCTAGTTCAGAATCCATCACTTACGTATGGTTGGGATACTTTTTCCAGCAGTTACATTATTCTGCATAAATTTCTGTTCTGTTTCATCTTTCCTATTATTGCCCAATTGTGCAGTACCGTGATGTACTTTCAGATTTCCATTTTGCTACTCTTATTCAGGGTAGCTTAGAAAAAGAAGGGGAAAGGCTATGAATAGCAAAGTTTATAGAGTTTGCCAGTGGTGCTAATGAGGTCATTTCCCTCCCCTCTCTTTTGCTGAACTGACCTTTCTCCTATTTTTATGATTCTCCTTTCCCTTTTGCTACGTAATTTCTTTTCTGACTGTATTTTTCTTCCAAATTTGTAAATCCAGGTATTGTGAATCGGAATAAAAAAAGGAAGAACAGAGCATGTATTACAGTAGGTGCAGTTGGGAGGCCATGAAGGCAACAAAACTTTGTAGTGACATTTTAAGGACGGATTGTGTGACAGCTTTGGACACACACTGGTTTTTCAGTATGTCCAGGGGATTTTAGTGGCATCACTTTAAACAGCTGAAAATAATTCAGGGGAATTGTTATAAATACAGATTAGTATGTAATCATGGCTAGATAAGGTGGATTATGTTGTAAGGTGTGTCATGCTTCGTATGCACTGCAGCTATCCTTGTAGTCAGATATTTCATTATTTTTGTTACTTAATCTCAACCTGCATATAAATCAAATGTGCTGTGGGATGAACACAAAGACAAGCTTTCCTGCACTCATCAGATAATGAGTCTAAAACCATCTCTGTTTCGTTCATCCCATATTGTTGGCACTGGAAATTGCCTGCTTGGTTCAGTTGCTCTTGCAATTCACTTTGCTAGAGTCAGTAATATCATTTCCAAATTTTGTATGCTCCAGGACCCTCTGTCACTTTGAGCTTGTGAGCAACTTTCCTGGAAATGTAACTGAATAGCCAATCTGCGGTATACGCTGCAAGCATACTCTCATATTCTCTTTGAGAACTGTCTTCTGTATGTGGATTGAAAAGCTTACTTAAACTAACACATTTTACACTACTCATTGTTTCA